ATGTACTGGCGATGTATCGCAGATTCCAGGTCCATGTTTCCCGCCCCCCCCCCCCATGCCAGTCCCCCCTATCGTTGCCCTTCACTGTGAGGAGTAGGGGGAGGAGGACAAGCCAGCAGCAGCAGGAGCCACCCGCGTGTCAGCGCGCAGTCGACGCGTGGATGCCGGAACGCCTCTTGCGGAGCGCACGGCCTCCGCAGCGTGCGCTGGTCGTGCCAACCTCAAGCAAACGTTCGGGCTTGAGTAGCAATCCCTCAGCGCTGAGCGCGCGCGCGATACGGTCGGACCGAGTTACAAGATCGAGGTCGGCTCGGGGAGGGTACCCTAATGTTCTTCGTGCTTGTTGGATGCTCTTGTGCATCCTGTGGGAGGGTACCCTCGAATGTTCTTCAGTTCGGCCGGCGGAGGGTATCATGTTCCTGAAGGATGTTTTTCTGCGTTAGGTCTGGCCGCATGATTGGTGGATGGTGGTGGGTGGGAGCCTACTGGGCGCAGCCGCTCTCCCTCCCCGTCTTCCTCTCCCAATCCCTCTCTTCCTCCCCGTCCCCCTCCCCCTGCCTGTCGCCCCCCCCCTTCCCCTTCTCCCCCCTCGGCCTTCCACCTGGCGCCTGCCTCTTCCCTTGCCCTTCACTCTTCTCCCCTCCCCATCTCCTCTGCCCTTGCCCTGCCCCTGCCTGTTCCTTCCCCCTGCCCCTGCCCCTTCACCCGCCCCCTCCCCCCTCCCTTCCTCTTCTCAGAGTCACGCATTCGCAATGCCCACGTCCAGTCAACAAGCCCATGCCCCTCTTCTCCCCCGCCCTTTCTGTCCTAGTCGGCGTCCCCTTACCCAACCCTGCCCCCTCTCAGTTGCCCTTCCCGGTCCCCGTCCCGATACCTCTGTTCCTGGCCCCCCTTCCACGCCCTCCCCCGCCGCCTGTTTTGCGTGAGCGGACCGCCAGGACATTCCATCGGCTGGTTAACCTGGCATCCTCTGGTGCGAGTTCGCATCCAAGTGGTGGCGCTGTTCCCGTCCACATGCGACCTCGGCTTTCTAAGAGGGCTCCCGACCCACCGGCCACTCTGCGAGGCCATGCCATGGGGGCCTGGGCTCCCGCCCGCCACGAGCGTCTCGTTCCGTGCCCTGTCCTCTCCCCCGTGCCTTTCCCGATCCTCGTCTCCGTCCCCGCCCCTGTGCCTCTCGGATCCTCTCGTCCCCCTCCCGCCCGCTGGTCTTTGGAGTCCTTCGGAGGTCCCCAGGGACCTCTACGGCTCTACGGGAGTCCTTGGAGGTCGCCAGAGGCTTCTGGGGACAGGAAGCTAGAGAACGATGCAGAAGCAGATATCGATCACCGATCCTCGAAGTGGGATTGCACAAGGTTCAAAACCGACGGAAACAGCCGTGTACGCCAAAGCCGAGCGCCATACCCAAACTAGCCGACGGCACAAGACGCCCCCGCGCAGACACTGCCCTCTTCCACAGTCGTCACTGGGCCGAGCAACGCATTGGACCAGACCAGCCTAATACGTTATATACCTCATACCTAGATCGCCGGGGAGCGTGCTGAAACCCTCTCCGGCCTGCGAGCCGCAGCCCCCGATCCTCGATCCTCCTCCTCACTCCTCCTCTTCACCCCTCCTCCTCACCCCACCTGTACTCTCCTCCCTCCCTCCTCCTCAACTCCTCTCCTCCTCCTCCTCCTCCACCCCTCCGCCTTCTCCGTCCTCACTCCCCCTCGCTCCACCTCCTCCTCCACCTCCTCCTCCTCCTCTCTCCTCCTCCTCACTCCCCTCCTCCTCCTCCTCTCCTCCTCCTTCTCCTCCTCCTCCTCCTCCTCCTCCTCCTCCTCCTCCTCCTCCTCCTCCTCCTCCTCCTCCCCCTCCTCCCCCTCCTCCCCCGCTCGGCCCCCTCCTCCCCGGCAGAGCGCGCCCCTCCCCCCGCGGACGGCGCGCGAGCCCGGCGCGCGCCCCCGAGAGGGCCTGCCACGCCCGCCCGTGCTGGCGCTCGAGGAGGGGTCGGCGCTGGGCGGGGGGAGGGGGTCCACCGCCAGAGGCCCAGCGATCCGCTCTTTCGCGGCCATCGTTCGTGGCCCCCTCCTCCTCCTCCTCCTCCTCCTCCTCCTCCTCCTCAGCAATTATCATCCTCCTCCTCATCCTCCTTCCCCCTCGTCGTCGCGTCCGTCGTCGTCGTCCTCCTCTCCTCCTACTACCTCCACCTCCTCTTCCTCCACCTCCTCCTCCCCCTCATTCCCTCTCTCCTCCTCTCCTCCTCCCTGCCCTCCTCCTCCTCTCCTCACTCCTCCTCCTCCCCACTCCTCCTCCTCCTCCTCCCTGCCTCCTCCTCCTTCTCCTCCTCCTCCTCCTCCTCCTCCTCTCCCGATCCGCTCGTTCGCGCCCGTCGTGGCCCCACATGCATGCCTTCGTGGCCCCGCCGTCGCCCTTTCGTGGCCCCCTCGCTGTCCTACGTGGCCCAGTTGCTACCCTCAGTGGCCCCGTCGTTGCCCTTCGTGGCCCCGCGTTATCTGCCCTTCGTGGCCCCCGCTCGTTCGCGCTCTTCGTGGCCCCATACGCATTCCGTTCGTGTCCCCGCTGTCGCCCTTCGTGGCCTACTTCGTGTCCTTCGTGCCTACTTCGTGCCCTTCGTTGTTGGTGTTCTTGTTGTTGTTGTTGTTGTTGTTGTTGTTGTTGTTGTTGTTGTTGTTGTTGTTGTTGAACATTATTAATTCTAAAGAATAATTATTGTTGGGACCCCTGGTGCACGGCCCCCCTGCGCCGCCTAGGCCGCAGCTACATTTTCTTCATTTTCGTGAGGAAGCCTCAGGTAATTCGATGTGATCAAGATCCGGTTGTTTTGTTCCCCCCCGCTTTCCCTTGCAAAAAACACTATAAAATGACATTTCTTGTTCTAATATAATCAAATTTCAAAAATCCCTTGCAAAAAATAAGGTAAAGTGGACATTCGCGCGCGCAAGACGAAATCCTTCCAAAAGCTTAGTGTTCGGAGCGATTTTAACATAAAAACATCAAAAAACCAATGTTTTTTCAACAAAAAAATGTCAAAATCTCATCCCGCGCGCTCTTGCGGATTCGTAGGAAAACCAACACTTTTTAAACATTTCAGTCAAACGGGCTTTTGCGAGCAACTTTTTCGAACTTCTGCGACAACGGTTGCGCACCTGCCAGGGCCATCATCCCTGTCAAATAATACCATGCGGGACACATTCGTTTTTTCTTCGCGCGCGCACGCCGTCGTCGTCGGCCGCGAGGCCCTGAATAGTAGCCACGGTCGTCCGCATGCCACGAAGTGAAGTGTCCGAACGTCATAGGGCGGGAAGCTGGGTGTGGGTGGTGGCGAAGAGTCGTTTGGAAATTTGGTAGAGCTTGAACCGGCCCCCCCACAAAGTGGTGGTATTGCCCGCCTCCTATGAAAACCCTGGCACTGGTGAGAACGGAGTGTCCCCACGTGCTAGTAATTGTTGTTGTTGTTGTTGTTGTTGTTGTTGTTGTTGTTGTTGTTGTTGTTGTTGTTCTGGTTGTTGTTGTTGTTGTTGTTGTTGTTGTTGTTGTTCTTGTTGTTGTTGTTGTCGTTGTTGTTGTTGTTGTTCTGGTTGTTGTTGTTGTTGTTGTTGTTGTTCTTCTTGTTGTTGTTGTTGTCGTTGTTGTTGTTGTTGTTGTTGTTGTTGTTGTTATTGTTGTTGTTGTTGTTGTCGTTGCTGTCGCCGTTGTTGTTGTTTGTTGTTGTTGTGATGTGTGTTGCTGCTGCTGCTGCTGTTGTTGTTGTTGTTGTTGTTCTTGTAGTATTAGTCGTAGTAGTCGTAGTCGTAGTCGTAGTAGTAGTAGTAGTAGTAGTAGTAGTAGTAGTAGTAGTAGTAGTAGTAGTAGTAGTAGTCGTATCAGAAATAGTAGTCGTAGTAGTAGTAGTAGTAGTAGTAGTAGTTGTAGTGGTTGTTGTTGTTGTTGTTGTTGTTCTTGTTGTTGTTGTTGTTGTTGTTGTTGTTGTTGTTGTTGTTGTTGTTGTTGTTGAAGTCTCATTTCTGAAGCATAATTATTGTTGACCCCCCGTCCGGTGCACATGTTTTTTTCGATTGAAGTGCCCTTCCTGGGGCTCGCACCTTGTTTTTCATCAGGGAAAGTCTTGAGGGTCAAATTTTGTTGTTGGCCCCTGGTTTACAACAACAACGGCTCCCGCCTGATACTTCCGCACAATGTATTGAAGAAGCGCGCTCTCGCTTGGGACTTCCTTGAAATTTGCCACCGGATCGCGGCTCCCGCGTGATATTTCTTTTACAATTTATTGAAGAATCGCGTTCTCGCTTGGGACTTCCTCGCAACTTACCACCGAATCGCGGCTCCCGCCTGATGCTTCCTCACAAATTATTCAGATGCCGCTCCTCGACACTCAGGAATCGCGCTCCCGCTACATATTGTCTGGCGGTTCAAGCAGAATTTATGCTTCAACGACCCGCCCGTCAGGGCCTGCCCGCCCGACCAGCCCGTTAGGGACTGCAGTCGCCGCTCGCTGCCCTTCGCCCGCCTTCGATGCCCCTCGCTGCCCGTACTGGTTCGGCGGTCGCCTTCGCTCGCTGCCCTTCGTGCCCCCGTTGCTGCCCTCAGTGGCCCCGTCGCTGCCCGTTGTGGCCCCGCATTATATGCCCTTCGTGGCCCCCGCTCGCAGTCGCCCGTCCTGGCCCCATACGCATGCCCTTCGTAGCCCCGCTGTCGCCCTTCGTGGCCCCCTCGCTGCCCTTCGTGACCCCGTTTCTGCCCTCAGCGGCCCCGCTGTTGCCGTTTGTGGCCCCATATACGAATGCCCTTCGTGGCCCCCGCTCGTTCGCGCCCGTCGTGTCCCCATATGCATGCCCTTCGTGGCCCCACTGTCGCCCTTTGTGGCCCTCTCTCTGCCCTTCGTGGCCCCGTTTCTGCCCTCAGCGGCCCCGTCGCTGCCCTGTGGCCCCGGATTAATTGCCCTTCGTGGCCCCCGCTCGCTCGCGCCATTCGTGGTCCCATACGCATGCGTTTCGTCGCCCCGCTGTCGCCATTCGTGGCACCCTCGCTGCCCTTCGTGGCCCACCACTTTCTGCGCTCAGTGGCCCCGCTGTCGCCCTTTCTGGCCCCATATATGTATGCCCTTCGTGGCCCCCGCTCGTTCGCGCCCGTCGTGGCCCCATATGCATGCCCTTCGTGGCCCCGCTGTCGCTCTTCGTGGCCCCCGCTCTGCCCTTCGTGGCCCCGTTTCTGCCCTCAGCGGCTCCGTCGCTGCCCTCTGCGGCCCCCTATACGTATGCCCTTCGGGGCCCCCGCTCGTTCGCGCCCGTCGTGGCCCGCGCCAACAACGGCTCCCGCCTGATACCCTACTCTTGTCCACTCCATCCCAATCCGCTCCACATCCCCGCGCTCCTCTCGACACGGTTGCAGTTCTCACTACCCTTCCGCCCCACTCTCCCAACGTCCCGCTTCTTTTCAGGTTTCCACGACATTTGTATTTGACGCCAGTTCGCAGCTGTACGTCCCCCGCGGGGGTATCCACGATATGTTCTTTCAAGGGGGTGGTACGTGGCGCTGTTTATGGCGCGACCCATGGCGAAACTTATTGTTCTCCTGTGTTGGAGTGGCTGGCGCAAGCCATGGCGTAAGCTGAATCGCCACTCGCAGCGCAAATCATCGTCCTCACTCCTTCTTGACCTCCCCTCCCTTCCGCCGATCCCTTTGTTTTCATTTCCCCCCGTTATCTGGTACCCTTCGCTTTAAAGGGCTTCGCCAACCACGCGTGGCAGGGAATGAATATGCCCCCCAAAAGGGGGTTCGATTGAAGACGAAGAGGGCGGGTATCCACGGTTTGGGGTATGCGTATCGAATGACACGCGAACAGATAAGAGCGAACAGTCTTAAAATGATTGTTGTTGTTGTCGTTGTTGTTGGTTTTGTTGTTAGTGTGGTTGCTGTTGTTGTTGTTGTTGTTGTTGTTGTTGTTGTTGTTGTTGTTGTTGTTGTTGTTGCTGTCGTTGTTGCTGTTGCTGTTGCTGTTGCTGTTGCTGTTGCTGCTGCTGTTGTTGTTGTTGTTGCTGCTTTTGTTGTTGTTGTTGTTGTCGTCGTCGTTGTTGTTGTTGTTGTTGTTGTTGTTGTTGTTGAGCTTTCACAATTGAAAAATCATTCTTGTTCATCTCCCCCTCCGGTGCACATTTTATTTTTCAGTTGAAGTGCCCCTCCCGGCGCTCGCACCCTGTTTAATATCAGGGAAAGTCTTCATCCTCAAACTGCGTTGTTGGCCCCCAGAGTACAACGACAACGGCTCCCGCTTGGGACTTCCTCAGTTTTGCCAGGGCCTCCGCTCCCGCCCGAGATTTCCTCGCATTTTATTCAGGAATCGCGCTCTCGTTTGGGACTTCCTTGCAATTTATTCAGGAATCGCTCTCTCGGCGGTCTGGAGTCGCGCTCTCGCTGGAGACTTGCTTGCAATTTACTGAAGAATAGCGCCCTTGTGTTGGAATGTCCAATAATTTACTCAAGCGCCGCGCTCCCGACATTCAGGCACCCAGGAGTCGCACTCACAATTAGGACACCCTCACAGCTTATATTTAGGAATCGGGATCTCGCTGCCCTTCGTGGCCCCGTTGCAGCCCTTCGTGGTCCCCTCGCTTTGTTGCGTAGACCCGTTGCAGCCCTTCGTGGCCCCCTCGCTGCCCTTCGTGGCCCCGTTGCAACCCTTCGTGGTCCCCTCGCTGCCCTCAGTGGCCCCGTTGCAACCCTTCGTGGCCCCCTCGCTTTGTTTCGTGGCCCTGTTGCAGCCCTTCGTGGCCCCCTCGCTGCCTTCCGTGGACCTGTTGCAGCCCTTCGTGGCCCCCTCGCTGCCCTTCGTGGCCCCGTTGCAGCCCTTCGTGGTCCCCTCGCTGCCCTTCGTGGCCCCGTTGCAGCCCTTCGTGGCCCCTCGCTTTGTTTCGTGGGCCCGTTGCAGCCTTTCGTGGTCCCCTCGCTGCCTTTCGTGGTCCCGTTGCAGCTCCTCGTGGCCCCCTCGCTGCCCTTCGTGGCTTCGTGGCCCCCTCGCTGCCCTTCGTGGCTCTGTTGCAGCCCGTCGTGGCCCCCTTGCTGCCCTTCGTGGCCGCATATATGTATGCCCTTCGGGGTCCCCGCTCGTTCGCGCCCGTCGTGGCCCCACATGCATGCCCTTCGTGGCCCCGCCGTCGCCCTTTGTGGCCTCCTCGCTGTCCTACGTGGCCCAGTTGCTACCCTCAGTGGCCCCGTCGTTGCCCATCGTGCCCCCGCATTATCTGCCCTTCGTGTCCCCGCTGTCGCCTTTCGTGGCGTACTTCGTGCCTACTTCGTGCCTACTTCGTGCCTACTTCGTGCCCTTCGTTGTTGTTGTTGTTGTTGTTGTTGTTGTTGTTGTTGTTGTTGTTGTTGTTGTTGTTGTTGCTGTCGTTATCGTTGTCGTTGTCGTTGTCGTTGTCGTTGTCGTCGTTGTTGTTGTTGTTGTTGTTGTTGTTGTTGTTGTTGTTGTTGTTGTTGTTGTTGTTGTTGTTGTTGTTGTTGTTGTTTTTGTTGATTGTGGTTGATCCCCCCTCACTGGTGCAGATTGTTTTTCTCAATCAAAGTGTGCCCCTCTACGCTCGCACCCTGTTTTTTGACAGGGGAAGTCTTCCTGCTCAAACTGTGCCTTTGGCCCCCCCCCCCCCCGGATGAGAACAACATCTGCTCCCGCTTAAGACTTCCTCCAACTTTACCCCGCACCCCCGCTCCCGCCTGAGACTTTCTCACAATTTACTCAGGATCGGTGCTCCCGCTTGTGACTTCCTCGCAATTTAGCCAGGACCCCCGCTCCCATCTGAGACTTCCTCACAATTTACTCAGGAACGGCGCTCCCGGTTTAGACTTCCCCGCAATTGAGTCAAGATTTCTTCGCAATTTAATCAAGACCCCCGCTCCCGCCAGAACCTTCACATTTTATTCAGGAATTGCGCTCCCGCTTGTGACTTCCATGCATTTTAAAATCGCGATTTCGACGCTCAGGAAAAACGCTGCGCCAAGGACGCCGTCACAATTTACTTCGGAATCGCGCTCTCGCCATACGCAAGCATCCCGCTTGAATGTCCCACCCGCCCGATCCGCCCGTCAGGGGATCCGTCGTGGGCTCCCGCCCGAGACTTCCTTCAGGAACGGCGCTTTCGCGCTCTTACCTTCCTGCTCCTCCTCCCTCTCCCTCCTCCCTCCTCCCTCCTCTCCTCCCTTCTCTCTCCCTCCTGTCTTCCCTCATCCTTATGCCTCTCTGCCCCATCCCCTCTCTCTCCTCTCCCTCCTTCCTTCTCCCTCCCCTCTCCTGCCTCCGCCCTCCGTCTTTCGTTCTCTCTGTCTCTCTCTCTCTCTCTCTCTTTCCCCTCTCTCTCTCTCTCTTTCTCTCTTTCTCGACATTTTTTTTTTTTTTTTTTTTTTGTTTTCTCCTCTCTCTCTCTATATGCCTCTAATCCCCCCCTTTTCGCTCCTTCTCTCCTGGCGTTTTCCCGCTTCCTTCGTCCCTCCCCCTCCCTTCCTCCCACTCTCCCTCGTTCTCCCCCTCCTCTTTTTGCAGGGCCCACCAATCCCAATGGCGGGCACATGTACGCCCACGAAGGACTGTCCGCCCGTTCAGGTTTGCCCGCCTGTCTAAGCCCGCCGCCCCCCGCAAAGAGAAATAATCCCCCCAAAGGGGGCGTAATCGAAGACAGGAAGGGCGGGTATCGAGGGTGTGGGGAACTCGTTTTGAATGGCACACGGGCAAGTAAGAGCGAACAGTCTTATAATGATTGTTGTTGTTGTTGTTGGTGCTGCTGTTGGTGTTGCTGTTGTTGTTGTCGTTGTTTTTGTTTTTGTTTTTGTTGTTGTAGTTGGTGTTGCTGCTGTTGTTGTTACTGTTGGTGTTGATGTTGCTGTTGTTGTTGTTGTTGTTGTTGTTGTTGCTGTCTCTGTTGCAGCTGTTGTTGTAGTTGTTGTCTTTATTGTTCGTGCTCAGTTTCGTTTTGTTTGTTTGTTTGTTAGTTAGTTTTTTTGTGTGTTTGTGTTTTTCGGGGGGTCAAGACGGAGCCTTTTCGCACTTTTCGGCCTCCAGGGGCCCTCGGACCGTCAAAAACCGACGCAGGATGAGAAACCGGTCCCGGGGAAGGGGTCAAGATTTTCCCAGTGACCCCGTGTGGAACAAATCACGACGCTGGGTTTTTGGGGAGTCTCTTGGCTTGAAGCTCGCTGAGGGGCAGCGAGCGCGATTGGTGTTTGTGGGGCGACGGAGGATGGGGTAATAGTCGTTGGGTGAAAGCGAACCTGAGCGGCCCAATCGTCGGTAAGAGAGAGCCTGAGATCAGAGCTTCTGGCGAACGGGGGTCGTAAGGGATCAAGCGCGCTGGCCGAGGGTAGTGGGACCTAGACCTGGAAACATCGCTGGCCCACCCGCCTTGCGACCTCCAACTCATGGCTGTACCGGTTCAGCCAGGTCCAGTGTATACAGCTGTCTTTGTTCGCCAGCGTGGGCCCCAAACGATGAGTTTGTGCATTCCAGGTGGAGAGGCAGTCTATGCGGTGGAAGCTGTGTGGTGCAATCTACGTGTCGGAAGCTGCGTGGTGCAACCCAATTGTGGACATCGCAGTCGCTATCTCCCGCTCTCATGCAAGCATGTCGCCTCCAGCCCGCAACTTGTTGGCGACGCTCATCTTGCCATGATCTCAACGGGCGTACGGGTGGCGATGGTGACGACCGCGACGCCAACGACGATGGCGATGACAGTGGTGATGACGCTGATGCCGATGGTGATGGCAGTAGTGATGGGGACGATACGATGTAGACAAGGATGATCGTGATTAAACTGATGACGACGGCGGCGACGATGACGCTGGCGATGATGATGACGACGATGGCGCTGGTGATGATGATGAGGAAGTGCCCGCACGCAGAAGGTGAACGAGGGCGACGACATTGATGACGACGATGACGGCGGCGGCGTTGATTATGACGACGGTGATGATCCTGACGATGATCTTGCTGATGATGATGGCGATGACGATG